TGCAGAACATTTTGTCTGCACCTGTTGACAAAACACAAGAAATGCAACATCTGTTTGCTACAGTAGCTCTACAAAAGAAGTTTGATAAATGCCATGTCCCTTGTACACTTTCAGGTTAATTTTTGGGCATATATATATATATATATATATATATATATATATACACACATATACATACACGTGAAAAGTTGCTGAAAACTTGCTAGCCTGACCCACTCATTTAATATTGACTAATCATCAGACAAATGGAAATACTTCATGAAATAGATTTGATAAGGCATTTTGTCATTCAAGGCTTCACCAGATCTGAAAACAACAAAAGAATGAAATTTGTGTATGTGTATCTGCTTAAATAATGAATCTTAGTATTTTTTTCCTTGAGCTGGCATTTTCTCATGATTAAAAGAAGAAATATCTTGAGTATATGTTTATATATATATATATATATATATATATATATATATATATATATACACACACACATACATTTGTACACAAAATAAAGTACAGATATGGAATCAACAAAAAGTGTTAAAATTATTTGAAATATAGATAAACTTTTATTTGTTCCATCTGAAAAATAACATTTTACAAAAATAGAATAAGAAAAAAAAAATATTTTGTTAGGACAATTATACCTATTAATTGAGATTTTTTAAAATCAATTGATTTTTGTAAAAAGTCAGTACTTTGTTTTTAAATTTATCAAGTTTTTATTTTTTCTCAAAAAATTAGATAATTCTTTTAATTTTAATAATTTTAAAAAAAAATTGAACAATTAAAGCTGATAGGAATTCTAAGCTTATTTTTTAATTTTAAAATTGAGTGAATTTTACAGTCCATTTGCAAAATATTCTTTCTATAATATCAGGTATGATTGACATATTTTTCTTGTTGTTATACTTCACTGACCAGAATTTGAGAAAATAGTTCAATATATGCTTAAACAACTGAATATAAATGACAAACATTTTAATCAACACTTTATATGTTATATTAGACAATATAAAATGCCTAGATTTTTTAAATAATTTTGAAACTATTAACTATTAACAAATTTTGAAACAATTAACTTTTTTCATTTGTTGAAATCAATCTCAATGTTTTATAAGCTGAACTGCCAGTGACCCAACGGATCACAGGTAGTCTAGGTTTTATATAATTACAGGTGGATAGGTTTTATATAATTGTTGCCTCAGGATTCAGCGTGATTCCTTTCATCTCTACTACTGTGACAATTCCTTTAGCATTTTTATACAAGTGTTCACATATGCTATAAATAAATGCTGTTACTGGAGGTCAACTTTATCCCTGGAAGTTCTGTTCCTATTAAATGCTGTAAACGATGAGTAAAAACGTTAAACATGAACTCTAAACCAGACCAATAATGTCAGTCAGTTATGTGATTACACATTTAGGGCGATCATGTTTTCGATACATGACTGACGAGGCAGATTTTTCCCGCAGTAGGTTGCCATTTTTTTTTGCGTTAGACCAGCTGCCTTCCAAGGCTACACCCAGTCTGTCAAAACAAAACTTTACTCCATAGAAATGAGGGGAGAATAAGAAGATTCATGATTTTCCTGTGAGTATTAGCACGTAAGGAATGTAATGAATTGATCAATTCATGAACTCGTTCGCTTCCTCCACTCCGCTATTTTTTCTTATCCATTAACTTTGTACCAAAGCAAATTAATTGATTCATTTGTTATTTACGGTTTATCAACCCTATGTGAGTTATTCAAAAAAAACATATTCACGGCCAAATAGGAGGTTGTTTCTTTCGGTTTACCATTATTTCTTAGATCGACGCTTCTTAACTCCGGTGATTGTGTTTGATTTGGTCGCAGGTCCAAAGTAAAATAACAGTAAAACTTTGTTTATTATTTATTTTTTATCTTCAGATTTTCAACTCTTTATGTTTATGAAAGCAATATCAGTCACTTGAGATGAATTTGAACAATCGCTTAAGCGATCATCATATTTTTCGATACATGGCTGACGAGGCAAAATTTTTCCCGGAGTAGGTTGCCATTTCTTTCTAGACATACTGTGCACCCAAGATAAATAACCCAGTCTGTCCCACAATTCAACCTAACATGTAATTTTTTATGTAAGTACATTTTGAATCAGCCCAAATGACTTGACTCAATTTATAGTCCAACTAGAAGGTTAACCAATCAGAAGACGTAGAATATTCAATCCGTCGATAAAGGCGCCATTTTTGTTTAACTATCCGAATGTCCAGTGTCAGCTTGTCAGGGAAGAATAACAGAATGAAGAATTACGCTCTGCTACTTTAGCGGGATATCCACTGCTAACCTGAACTACACTTCTCTACTGTCTTCGAAATATTCAGATGCTAACCCTCTGATTCTATACTCAAAGACGACCGTCATCATTAACAACAACCTAGGTGGGGGAAGAAGAGATGGATTTATTCCCAAGGGATTTGTACGTAAGTGAATATAACAAAATGGGGAATGGTAGAAAAATATGGTCAAAATTTTTTAATATATTCAATTTTAATAGCCACGTAGGTTTTATGCAAATTTTAATATATTGAAATTTTAATATATGCGAATCAAAAGAAACATCAAACTGAATTTTCTTTCAATAAATTTTTCAAATACGATTGTAGATTTTTTCAAAAAATTTTGTCTTCAATGTAAAGATGCGTATTATGCACTGATGGGTCTTTATAACAAAAATTGCTATTGCCTAATCGAAATTTGAACTTGGTTTAATTGTTCCAGTTGCAATGAAATTATTTATTATTCAGCCTCACATCCACCATTATGAAATAAGGGATTGAATAAAAAGACTGCGTTTTTATTTATTTGTCTGAATTCTCTAGAGAATTGTTTAATTTATTGCAGGGGCCCGAAACCTTTTGACAGGAATTTGAATTTGATTTTTTATGCTTTGTTTGTTTTGTTTTTTTGCCACAGGGGGGGTGCAAAGATGGATTCTGTCGAAAAGTTATATCGCAATTCTTTTGTAATGCCTTGTAAGTCGGCTGTTGCCAGTTAGTCAGTTATGAATATGCTCATTTGCATCACAGGCTTCATTTTATCAATGAATGAATTTGAATCAAGCAAAATGAATTTGGATCTATTCAATCTAATCATCTTTAGACTTGGCGATTTTTCAATTGCATCCAATATGGTATTTTTGTCAGCCACGTTCGCATTATCATGATTAACATGGCACAAAAATTAGTTGGTCGCTCCATATAAGATATACATCTATTATAAGTATTTAGTAATAGTTGCTAAGTTTGGCACAGGGTTACAATATCAAAGCATCGAATAAAAAATAAGCTCTTTATACTAACAATCCTTTTTACTGATATTCACCCCTATACAAAGGGTCCTCAAGTTAGGTTACTGAAGGGGTGCGTTTTATGAGGATATATGTGAAAAGTATGATTAATCCTGAAGTAAAAGAAATTAAGATTGTAGTGGTCAGGAAAGCATCAGTCCTTCAGAATAAGCTATCTGGTGGAATTTACATCTTTACTAATGGAATACGAAAGAATGAGTGTTCCGCCTCAATATACGCGTTGTGGTGGGTCTTAGCTAGGAAGCTACAGTTGGAGGTAAAATGTAGTTCGTTTACGAATCTAAACGATTACACGCACTACAATATGTTGGTTTGTCCGGAGAGTTCATGCCGATGTTTAATTATTCATGTTCCAACACGTTAGAACAATATCAAATTTATCGACAGATATGCTTATATTTACATTTCCGTTGTTCCTTGAGGAAGAAGGTATCTCTTGAGATGTCAATTTTGCATCCCCATGAAAATGGTGTCAATTTTGCACCCTATGAATTTTAAATATTAGATTGTTTTTTTTTTTTGTTTTTTGTTTTTTTTACTGTAAAGGCAAAAATTCCTTGCAAACAACACAAAAGATGTGCTGTGTAAGGATTTAGATGACAGAACTGTGCAGAAATGGTTTGCTAAGTTCAGGGTTAGTGATTGTAGCCTTATTGATAACACTTAGGCAGACTCCTCCCTATTGCAGATGATGACCAAATCAAAATGTTGATTGAGAATAACCTGCATTGCACAACATGGGAATTGGCAGAAACATTAAATTTATCAAAATCCACCATCCATGAGCACTTAGTGAAGCTTGGGTACTCAAATCGCTACAATGTTTGGGTACATAAATTATCTCAGTGATAAAAATTTTAATTCATTGGATGACATAAAAAAAACACCTTGATACCTTTGCTGAAAAACCACTGAAATTCTGGGAAAATGGAAGTTGAAGGGAAAATGGAGAAAGGTTGGGCAACAAAATGGTTCATATTTAGTTGAATAAATATTTAATGGTATAATTTTGTTTTTGTGTTTTAATTTCCCTTAAAAATTGGCATGAACTTTCTGAACAACCCAATATATTTTATGTAATCACTGATATTGTTATGAATGACAATGTTTAAATAATGTTCTTTATTAGGTGGAAATGATGTATAACTTATCAGTATATAAGGATATTTTTTATAAACTAAAATGAAAATAAGACCAGTTAAATTTTCAATCAACCAATTCTGAATTATTTCTGCAATTTTAGGATATTAAGTAATCATTTTTGTGCTAATTGAATAATATGTGAAATTTAGTTAAAGTAGTTTTACATAGATTACTGAAATCTTATAAAATCCAATGAGATAACTTCTTATTATCAGCACTATAAAAAATGAGTTATATTTGTAGTATTATTAGAAAATACATTTTGTATGGCTAATATAAACTTTATGGTTTGTTAATGAATGGTATTAATGTTACTCTTGTTGCTACATTATTTTATAATTGTTTTATATCAACAGAACTTAAAGGATAATGTAACAAAATCAATAATAATAATACATAAAGTTAGATCTATAAATGACTATCTTTCTGTCTATAGTATTCAACTATATTTTTTGCCACTTATTTTCAGGCTGTCTGTTAAATTTATAAGATATTTTGTACCTTGCTTCTAGGTGATCAGACCATGGCGCTTGAACTGTCACGCATTCAAGATGAAGACTCCAATTTACCTTTGATAGTTGAATCTGTGGGAGACCAGGCCAACTCATCTGCTCTTCCAATGATCCCTTTCAACCAGCAGGGTCCCCATACATCCGGCACATCAGGAGTGTCATCTCAAAGCACGCCACCTCCACCACCACCACCACCACAGATCATTCTGCATTCCTCCAATCACCTCAACCACCCAGCACCTATGGTAATACCATATACTTTGCCAGGGCCAGCACAGGGCAGCCAGATCCCACACCATCCTACCACATATGTGCCAACATACAGCTTCTTCAATCACCATCATCAGTACCCTCCACCCCCACCCCCACCGCCACCTCAGACCACACACATTCCACTTCACAACAATATGCACCATCCTGGTGCATATATCACCACTTATTCCTACCAGAACCAGGCGCCATTCACTGTTGGTAACATGCAGAATGTTCACCATAGCACAGCTCAGATATTCAATGGAACTAGTCATATTCGGCACCTGGGGCCAACTGTTCAGATCTATCCTAACCCTAATTGCCAGGTGAGGAATTACTTTGCTGCTTCTTCTTCAAAATTTATCTTTATCAAGTATTTTGCATGGGTTTGATACAAGACAGAAATATAGAATTAATATCTTTAAAGATGCTTTGTACCAGTATAAGAAGTTAAATTTCCACCTGCAAATGCAAACAAAAATTAGAATGATTGTGTTCAATAAAGTTTTTAAATAATGAGTGTATTGTTCTTCTTTTATATCATTATTTCATCAAAAATGCTTGATAGAAAATTTGACTGTTTTAATTTGTGAGCACTCTTGCAATATTAGCCATATGTGAAGGATAAACTTAAAAGAATGACTAAAAAGAATTTTTACTAAGTTCAACGTAGTTATAATTTTTCAGTTAATATACAAGCTTTTGTTAACTTCAGTTAATATACAAATTTCTATCAGATAAAGATTAAACTCAAAAATGAGTTAAAATAAGCTTCTTATGTTCTTAAGAAAATGTAAATGTTATTAATTTCTATTTAATTTAGTCTCTACTTCATTTTAAGGTGAGCACTCTGCAGCCAATGCATGGGAACAGCTCGGCAGCTACTGGGACCAATGTACAACATGTGGAGCAGCCACCAGTGTTTACGCCCTGTCAACCTACATCGTCCACATGTGTACCCGGTCAACAGCAGCAGCAACAACAGCAAATGTGTGTTCCTGGTCAGCCACTACAACAGGGAAGTCAAGCAAGTCTTCAGCCTTCATCAGTCATCAACAATCAGACACAGATGAATTATCTGATGGCTGCATACCGGGTGGGCATGTTGGCCATGGAAACACTAGGCCGCAATGACCGGCCTCAAATGAAGTATGCTCGGAACCCTCCCTATGGTGAGGATGTGAAGAGGCTCCTAGGAGTTGCACTCAAATTAGGTAAATATTTTAATTCCTTATATAATTTGTTACTTGTTTTTTTACTTTTATCTACAATTTATTGACCATATTTTTCATGTTATGTAAAAACCAGTAAATATATATATATATATATATATATATATATATATAAAAACATTTATTGCTCTAAATTAAAGCTACATTAGAGAATAAGAAAATAAACTTTAATATGAGTTGTTTCATTGATAAGCATTTCCTATTTGTTCTTTATCCTATCATTCTACTGAATTTTGATCTGTATTTGATCCCATTTCGCACACACATTTTTTTTCTTTTTTTGCAAAAATTGTTAATTTTAATAAAAGAAAAATTATAGAAAAGCATTGATGACAATGGTTAAACGATATGATTCAACCCAAATCATTAAACAAGTGATACATTTATCATTTTGCTGTAAAATACAGCAATCAAAACAAAACTCACTTGAAGTAATTTTAAAAAATATTACCTGCTTTTATCATTTTTTTCCCATAGTTGCTTAATGCTTTCCACATGTTTAAACAGGCATAGCCAAATAATAAACAAATTTTGATTATTTATTCACTTAAAATAATTTTCCAGTTAACATTTTAGAAAATTATTTTGCAGGTCATCTACTTGGGATTAGATTAAACTAACTTTAAAAATCATTAATCTTGGCTAGATTATCATGACTAATCCATATTTTAAGTAATTTAACAAAAAGTACAAAATTTTGTTTTTTTCCTCTACATTCATTCCTAATTCCTACCATTCTCTAACCCCTGATGCTATTCATTTATATCCATAAAATTAGTGTTTGTTTGCATCATTTGTTGGTTTTTAAGTTTATGTATAACAAATTTTTTCAGTATCTTAAATTTAAAAAAATAATCCATTATTGATGAATTATAAACTGTTTTATTTATGAGCATTTGATATCAGATGTTTGTATAATGGATAACATGAAATGTTTTTTTATTTGTAGGCAGTAGTTACCTGCAGCAGTTCTGTGCCAGTGCTGTCAATGCTGTGGTCAGTCCTTTTGTTCTCTACGACATTGCTTGGGAAGCTGCCCACTATCTGGCCCGCAACAATCCCACTCAGGTCCACAACTGCTTGCGATCAAACTTCCTCAATCCATTGGTGCAGAAGTGTATACAAATGTAAGATTAGTTTCTTTGGTCCATCTTTAAGTATTTATATAACAATAGGGATCGCTATGAAATTGCTAAAAAATGAGCATAGCATGATAAAAATGGTGTTAAACTTGATGAAAACAAAGTTTTATCATTAAAATCTTTGTTACTATTACAAGGAAAGACCAAAGTATTTTTTTATTTAATTTTTCCATTCATTTTAGAACATTCTAACTTTTGATTTACATAACATAGCAAATTTTAGAGCATATTTTTGCAGTGACAGACATTAATTTGGAAAATCTTGTAAATATAAAAAAAATTGTTTGAAAATTGACAGTTTCATTTTTAATGAAACTTTCAGAAACTGAATTTTGAAATTATTTGAAATTTTTTTTTTATTTACATCGGTTACCCTCCACCAATAACTAATTTTATGAAAACTCTAGAAATTCAATGCTAAGCATTTTACTGATTTAAAAACAGAAGTCTTTGATGAATTTAAATCATGATTTTTTATTTATTTATTTATTTTTTAATTTTTTTATTTTTTTAAGCAATTGGACTCCATGTTACTGAAAATCAGCATAAAACAAAGATAGTATTTAATTTCAAAACCTTTTAGTTGCTTTTATGAATAAAGACAATATTGTATGAAGGCAAAAATTTTCTCCAATGAAAAATTATTGTTTTTTTTATTTTTTACATTTTATTTTTTAGTTGTGAAGTATTTTTAAATTAATTATCAAAACTGAGCCTTTTAGGCAATGGTGTTATTAAGTAGATCTATCACTACTGATCATAAATTTTAAAGCTTATTACAATCTGCGGTTTAGATGATATAAACATTTTTTCATCAAGTTTAAGACCGTTTTTATCATGCTAAATTTTATCATGCTCTTTTTAGTGATTTTGTAGAGATAAGAAGTGTGTATAATAATTTTAAATGTATTAAAATGTGTACTTACACACAATATTATCTGTACTCTTGCCAAATTTAATGTAATTTAAAGATTTATTTTGCCTTGAACCAGATATGTTTTAAAGTTTTGATTAAAACATCTGGTTCCCTGGCAGTTGTGAGTTCAGTTGTTTGGTCTGATAGTATTAAAAACATCTGGTTCAGTGGAAGAAATGAACAAATGACACAAATGTGAATAACACTGGTGTCTATTACATGTAAAGTGGAATGTGAACAATATACCCTCACAGATTAAAAATATATATATATATATATATATATATATATATATTGATAGTACAATGATGAAAACATTGTATGAATAACAACCAAAATAAACCTGGTCCAAATAGTAAAACCTATAGTTTAACATGGATAAAGCCAAAAGATTTAAGTTTGTGCCTTGTGGCTTCTCACAAGAATGCTAAAACCACCTCAAAGCAATTCCCAGGTGCCAGTTTGCCTTATTGCAGATCCTCAAGCAGAAATATAAGCAGTTGATGGCAAATCTTAAAAGGTCAGAAACCAATTGTATCCTCTTCAGATGGTAACTAAAACTACGATGCCTTAGGTATATAATAATCCAATAATCACAACTAAAATCATCCTAAGAGAAACTTATCAGAACATGAAGGTAGATATTTCATCAGTAACTGCACAAAAGTTGTATCTATACTTGCAGACAACAAAGGACCACACTTCTCTAACCAAAGTATGCAAAAGTTTACCTGCACAAAGCTTTCTCATAAGTTCTTTGATCAGATGAAATAAAAAAATGTATCTTTTGGGATATAGAGATATAATTTTAATCCAGAGAAATATCTTCAACTTAAAGATTGAATAAAACAGTTCTTTTTTTATATAATATGAATATCTTTTCTCATGTATCTAATTTTAGAACATTTTGTGAAATTATGCAGTTTTTAACTTGCCAAAAAGCAACAGTAATGACTACAAAACTTAGAAATTTGTTTCATGAAATGAATTATTGGTTAATCCTTCAAACAAATGCTTATTGTAAAACTTTAAAGTCATTTCTCTTCAAACTTAAAAAAAACTGAAATGAATAAAAATACTGATGTAATGTAAAAGATAGAGTAATTGTACACTGCAAGTCATTGATCTTGGTACTTGTAACTGAAGGTCATTTAAAGTGGTTCTTCATCACAAAGGATGCCTGGGTAATTTAATTAACTATCAGTCCTAACTGATTTTGTTTATATAAGCTTGTGACCAGAATTTCTTAACTTTCAGCCAAATGATACTTGCTCTTGAAAGTTTTTATTTATTTATTAAGTTGTTACATAAATTTGTTCATTTTTTTTTATTATTTATTTTAATACTTATTATTTATTAATAGTTCTGATGAATTGTTAATAAATGTATTCTCCTTTATTGTTTATGACCGCCTGGCAACAATCCACTAACTGTTCAATGCCTCAATGATAGAAATAACTAAGTTTGATGTTTTGACGAAAAAAAATTCATCAAGCCACGTTTTAAGCTCCACATTGTTGCTGAAATTGTTAGAAAGTAACCAAAAAAGGTGGTAGTCAGAAGAATGTGGTGGATGTGGCAGAACTTCTCAATTTAATTGCATGTTTGATCATGTTAGCAATGTCAGTGCAAGCATTGTCATGTTGAATAATTACACTGTATTGCCAGTCAGGATTTTTTCATCTGAATTGCCTCTTTGAGCCTGTTCATTTGTTCAACATACAGTTTGGCATTGACTGTTTAGTAGTTCTGGGCTTTAACGAGTGAGTGAAGATGATGAGCAACAGTAACATGGGAGCTTGTCATCTCTTCAGTCAATTCCCTTGTGGTCTAGTGTGGTTCTTCTTTAATCAGTGTGTAATTGATTCTCAATAACTGAACAGGTTGGGCAGAATGCAGAAAGTCTGAGTCTAAACTTCCTCTCCTTGAAACAAGAAACCATTTCTGTACCGTTCTGTCAGTAATGAAGTCATCTCCATACTCAGCACAATTATCTTGAGAGGCTTTGGCAATTTATAAATATAATATGTAGAAATTAGGATGTCCAAATACATGTACAAATCATTTGTCGTAAGTTATATTTAACGACTTCAAATTTCTCAACATCAGTATTAAGGAATATTATCAGTGATTCTGTACTTTTATTTTATTTCTCAAATTCATAATTTCATCTTTTTTGTATGTAAGGGAAATATATATATATATATATATATTTATATATATATATATATATGGGAATATAATATATTTTCAGTTTTCAATCATTATCAAAATTTTGAGAATACATCCAATAAATGTTAATTGACAAAATGTTTGTTTTTACTAAACAAAAAAAATTTTTAAGGTTGAGTTTAAGTTTTAACAAAAGAAAATATTTTAAACATTAAAATGTAAAAATTTTCTCCATTATTTTTACAATAATTTAGAAACAATTTAAAATTAAGATTAACAGCTAAAGTTATCCATCGAAAGGAAATCCACTGAAATTAAAAGTAATATTTTTTCCCCCCAACAGGCCACAATCTGGATATTCTCGCATGAAAAAGAATTTTTGTCAGGATCATGCACAACATATATATACAATATATATGATGTTATATATATCATAAAAACCAAGTATCCCCAAACTGTGATGGTTTTTACTTGTGTCTCCATTGAGGGTGATCTCCCCTTTGAAGATTTAATTTTTTGATGGGGGTATGATGGTCATTCAAATGACTATAAACTCTTCAGATGTTTGTTAAAATTATTCACAAAAATTTTGTTGGATATACCGCCCCATGGACGACTGTCAGCAAAAATTTAGGATTCTTATTGCTCATTGCAACAGAAAGCTGTCTTTTTATATTACAATTTGCAGGCAGCCACAACAAATGAGATGCTACCTAAATGAACAACACATGGAAAACTTATTTATATTCAATTTTTAATGAAATATAAAAGCTGTATTTAAATAAATATCATCAATTATCAGGCTAAATCATTTTTATTTGAGAATCTTTTTGAATTTTTTGAAGGTTCATGCACTGTGCCCAGTATTCAATATTTAATCATCATACGAATGGTAGATTTCAAAGGCAGACGATTCTGAATTGAATTGTTTCAACATTCTCCAGGTGGACCTGCAATTGATTCAATATAACCATTCAACTTCCAAAGTCAGTCAAAGAACTCTGAGAAAAAGTCAATGGACTGTAACAACATGTGATCCTGGTGCACATGCCGATGGAAGAGTAAAAAGATTGTTCTGTATCATATAAAAGTGATGATGAGTTGTTCTTGTTCATATTGGTATTATCGTTCATCACCAACCTTCGTTTGATAATTCTATTTAGAAAACCTTCACAGGTTTAAACCATTTATATTAACATTTACATCTGCATTTAAAGTATTGACAAAAATGATACAATTTAATCATTTCCTAAAGCATATCTGGATTGAGATAGGCTTTTATTTCAAGGTTCCTACCGTATCTCTCCATATTTTTAATGTTTGACGCATTATGAACTTTTTTAGGTTACACGAGTAAAGTGTAAAACTGGTCAGGTGTGTTTGTGTCTTGTGATTTCATTTTGTTGTTTGTTTGATTAATTGATTTGGTATTGAGTTTACCATAAAAGGTTTTAGTTAATCCGGTTTTGATGACCAGATATTTCATTGTTTGGCCTTTTCTATAAGTTCCAACAGACAGATTTTCATTTAATCCGAGGACCAGGATCTCTACTAAGAACAAATTTTTTGTAAAAGTGGCACGACATTTCTCTTCACCTTGGTCAACATTTTTTATTTAAATTTGAAATTTTTTTTTTTTATCCTTAAGTTCTACCAAGGATAAATTTTTTTCCATTTACCGCCTTTAGGACGTTTTAATACTAAAACAAAATGAACTCGAAATCATTAGAAAAGTAACTTTCTTCTATACCATATGTCTTATATGTCTCTGTGCTCAAGGCCACATCAATGAGATCTGGTCTTCGGTGTTCAACAAGTCGATCTGTTTGCTGCTGTTACACCAGACTATCTTAGAAATTAGGATGTTCTCTCACAAGAAAATGGCACGTGATCGCACTATT